GCGCGGCCTCCACCCGCCGCACATCCACCGCGTCCAGGCGGAGGTTCCGCCGGAACTGATCGTGGCAGCGGACGGTGTGTTGAATCGCAAACATCCCCTCGAGGTCCCTCACCACGGGCCGCGTGGCGGTCGCGGTGAGGCAGAGGTACGCCGTCGGGATCCCCGACGCGGGCGCGGCCGATTGCGGCCGCCACGTCGTTTCCTCGAACGATCCGCGTCCGCCCTGGCCTTCCTCGAGGACCTCGGAAAGGATTCGATGCAAATACAAAAACGACGGCCGGAAGTCGTAGGCCCATCGCGAAACGCAGTGGGCCTCATCCACGCAGATCATCGCCAGGCGATGCCGCTGCGCCTTCAACAGCGAGCGTAATCGAACGCTGCTAATAAACTTCTCCGGCGACACAAACACGAGGTCGTACGGGGAAACCGGGGAGGCGAGCTGTTTGAAAAACTCCCCTTCGGCCGCCGCGGAGACGTTGGAGGAGAGCACAAAAGCCCGCAGGGATTCCTTCCGCCGAATCGACGCCGCCTGGTCGCCCATCAACGACAGGAGCGGCGAGACCACGACGCAAAATTTGCTCTGCAGCGATGGCGGCAGGGTGATCGTCGAATCCCCACCCCGATGCGCGGCGTCGTTGGAAGAAACGGCGGGGATTTCATCCCCTTGGGTTGGATTCCCCCCGTTCCACGCACGCCGACGGGCCTCGACGAGGAGGCGGTGGACGAGCATCGGGAACTGAAAGCAAAGCGACTTCCCCCACCCTGTCGGGCAGACGGCGAGGGTGCGGCGGCCCTGCAGGACGGAGAGACAGACCTCCTGCTGCCGCGCACGAAACACCCCACCGGGGATGTCGAGATACCGCCGTAGTAAATACGAGCAAACCGGGAGAGTGGAGCCGCCCATACCCTCGCCGTGAGCGGGATCCTCAGTGAAAAGGGCCTCCAAATGGGATTCGAGGATGGTCTTGTCGCCTAACGCCACCGGGAGGGGGGAGGAGGGAGGGGAGGGGAGGGCGTGCGGCGCCTCAGGGAGATCCCCAGAGGGGAACGCACCGTTGCCTCGTGAGGGTTCATCAACGGAATGCGTCGAGGATACCACGGGGTGGGTACTAGATTCAAGAAACGAGGCGAAGGTCTTCTTCTTTAGATGGAACGCCGATTGTGGTGCTAAGAACGAAATCACCTCATCATCACTGTCTTCAGAATGCGAAAGTGCAGAATCTCTTGAGTGCAGCATCCGCACACCACTCCAACTTCAGCCCAGAGCTGTCTATGGACCTCTATGGGAAAAGCGCTCGCTACCGTCGTCTATGCTTCGCTTGATCACCACAAAATGAAAGCAATCTAAGAACCAAATCAGGATCTATGGGGGAAAAAAAAATAACTCATGAAATGCTGTAATAATCAATCTTATAATCTGTCTTGGTCTCTAAAATTTAAACCGCAAAAAAAAAATATACATATCAACAGAAAAAGAAACGGGAAAGAAACCAAAGATTAATCACTGACCCTCTAAGGTAGTCTAATCGACGCAGAAGTATCCCAACGTACTCATGTCGTATTCTTGTTCGTGGAAAACACGATTGCTATAATGTTTACGTGCAGATGGGAATACCCAATACGGAATCCACGCTGCTCTTTTCGAATAATTAAAGAGGTGGGCCACATTGCTGCTCTCTCTTCCAATTGACCGAATCATCTTCCCTCCCACCAGTCGATCTATCCATCACTTGCTATGCGATTAAGAAAAAAAATTTCGGCTGAAGCTAACAACATAAGACCTAGGATAGTAGGACTTGAAGAGAAATTCCGGGGTTCATGATTTCCTTCATCTTCCCCTCCTCACAAGACGCCTATGGGTTTACCGGCTCTTCAATAAGGCAAACATGGGAGAAGCAGCTGGGTTCCTCCTCGGGCAGCACAGGGAAATCCCACGACGACGTAAAAGTCCTCAGAATACGGGCGCGAAGCTGGCAGGCCTCGGCAGAATCGAGAATCGCCTCCTCCATCTCGCGTCGCGTCGCACCCGGAGCTTTCCCAACGCTCAAATCGGGAATCCCGAGCGGATCCGCCTCCTGCGCGGTGATCAAAAACGTTCCGACTCCGATCACCCCTTCCGCGAAGGCCGCCGTGAGGAACTCCCGCCACTGCCGCGCCGTCGAGAGCTCGCGGGGGTGATGCTCGACGAAGACGACCTCCGGCGCCCCCGTCTCCCCCGCCACGAGCTCGCGCCACCCCCGCATCTTCGACAAATCCATCATCGTGCAACGCTCGAGGCCGGCGGGGCCGTGATTGAACTGCAGCGTCGCGCGAATCCCCGCGAGGGCGGCCTCGC